GAATCATAGAATCGTTAGGGTTGGAAAGGACCTTAAGATCATCTAGTTCCAACCCCCCTGCCGTGGGCAGGGACACCTTATTACTAAACCATACCACCCAAGGCCTCGTCCAACCTGGCCTTGAACACTGCCAGGGATGGAGCATTCACAACCTCCCTGGGCAACCTATTCCATTGCCTCACCACCCTAACAGGAAAGAATTTCCTCCTTATATCCAATCTAAACTTCCCCTGTTTAAGTTTTAACCCGTTACCCCTTGTCCTATCACTACAGTCTCTGATGAAGAGTCCCTCCCCAGTCTCCATGCAGCCTTCTCTTCTCCAGGCTGAACAACCCCAACTTTCTCAGCCTGTCTTCATACAAGAGGTGCTCCAGGCCCCTGATCATCCTCGTGGCCCTCCTCTGGACTTGTTCCAACAGTTCCATGTCCTTTTTATGTTGAGGACACCAGAACTGCATGCAATACTCCAGGTGAGGTCTCACAAGAACAGAGTAGAGGGTCAGAATCACCTCCTTCAACCTGCTGGTCACGCTCCTTTTGATGCAGCCCAGGATACAGTTGGCTTTCTGGGCTGCAAGTGCACACTGAAGCTGGCTCATGTTCATTTTCTCATCGACCAACACCCCCAGGTCCTTCTCCGCAGGGCTGCTCTGAATCTCTTCACTGCCCAACCTGTAGCTGTGCCTGGGATTGCTCCAACCCAGGTGCAGGACCTTGCACTTGTCATGGTTAAAGTTCATGAGGTTGGCATCAGCCCACCTCACAAGCGTGTCAAGGTCCCTCTGGATGGCATTCCTTCCCTCCAGTGTATCAACCAAACCACACAGCTTGGTGTCATCAGCAAACTTGCTGAGGGCGCACTCAATCCCACTGTCCATGTCACTGACAAAGATGTTGAACAAGACCGGTCCCAACACCGATCCCTGAGGGTCACCACTCGTTACTGGTCTCCAGCCAGACATTGAGTCATTGACCACAACTCTCTGTGTGCGGCCATCCAGCCAGTTCTTTATCCACCGAGTGGTCCATCCATCAAATTGATGTCTCTCCAATTTAGAGACAAGGATGTCATGTGGGACAGTGTCGAATGCTTTGCACAAGTCCAGGTAGATGACATCAACTCTTCTACCCCTGTCCATCAGTTCTGTAGCCCCATCATAGAAGGCCATCGAATTGGTCAGGCAGGATTTCCGCTTAGTGAAGCCATGCTGGCTGTCACCAAGCACCTTGTTGATTTTCATGTGCCTTAGCATGCCTTCCAGGGGAATCTGCTCCAAGATTTTGCCAGGCACAGAGGTGAGACTGACTGGTCTGTAATTCCCCAGGTCATCCATTTCCCCTTCTTGAAAATGGGGGTTATATTTCTCTTTTTCCAGTCATTGGGAACTTCACCTGTCTGCCATGATTTCTCAAATATGATGGCCAGCGGCTTCGCAACTTCATTTGCCAGCTCCTTCAGGACCCGCAGATGGATTTCATCAGGACCCATGGACTTGTGCACGTTCAGATTTTTAAGATGGTCTCAAACCAGATCCTCTCCCAAGGCCTTCATTCTCACAGTCCCTGCATCTGCTTTCCAAGACTTGGGTGGTGCGGTCAGAGCCTTTGCCAGTGAAGACTGAGGCAAAGAAGTCATTCAGAACCTCAGCCTTCTCCAAATCCTGTGTAGCCAGTTCTCCCGAGAGCTTCCTGAGGGGGTCTACATTCTCCCTAGTCTGTTTTTTATTTGCTATGTACCTGTAGAATCCCTTCCTGTTATCTTTAATACCTCTAGCTAAGTTTAATTCTAACTGAGCCTTAGCTTTCCTAACCTGGTCCCTAGCTTCTCGGACAACATCCCTGTATTCTTCCCATGCCACCTGTCCTTGCTTCCACTTATTATAAGCCTCTTTTTTCAATTGAATTTTCCTCAGGAGTTCCTTATCCATCCAAGGAGGTCTCCTGGCCCTCCTGCTGCACTTCCTTCTGGTTGGGATGCAACACTCCTGAGCTTGTAGCAGGGGATACTTGAATATCAACCAACAGTCTTGGGCCCCTCTGCCCTCTAGGGCTGTATCCCATGGAACCTTACTAAGCAGGTTCCTGAAGAGGTCAAAGTCTGCTGTCTTGAAGTCCAGGGCAGTGAGCTTGCTGCATGCTCTTCTCACTGTCCTCAGGATCTCAAATTCGAGCATCTCATGATCGCTGCATCCAAGGCTGCCCTGGAGAGTCACATTTCCAATGAGCCCTTCCCTGTTGGTGAGCACGAGGTCAAGCATGGCACCTCTCCTTGTCGGCTCCTCCATTACTTGCAGAAGGAAGTTGTCTTCTACACAGTCAAGGAACCTCCTGGATTGCTTGTGCCGGGCCGTACCGTCCTTCCAACAGATGCCAGGGTGGTTGAAGTCACCCATGAGAACAAGGGCCTGCAAGCGTGAGGCTTTTCCTATCTGTCTATGGATTGCTTCATCCGCAGGTTCTCCTTGATCAGGCGGTCTGTAACAGATGCCCACAGTAATGTCTCCCATAGCTATATTCCCTTTAACCCTGACCCACAAACTCTCTGTGGACTGCTCACCTGTCCCCAGACAGAGTTGCATACTCTCCAGCCTATCCCTAACATAAAGGGCAACTCCCCCTCCCCGCCTGCAACCTTCCATTCCAACACTCCAGTCATAGGAGCCATCCCACCATGTTTCTGTGATGTCTATTATACCCCCATAGACGTGCACACATCTCTAATTCCTCTTGTTTGTTCCCCATGCTACGGGCATTTGTGCAGAGGCATCTTAACCGCAGAGGCATCTTAACCGAGCTCCAACTGAAGCCGGCTCATTGGCTGGAGCAGCTGGGATATCTCTACATTGCTCCTAGCATTTATTATAGGTTCTGGCAACTGACTGGGTGTGTTGGGATGGAATGATGCCCCCCTCCTCCAACACATCTAGTTTAAAGCCTCCTTGACCAGTCTGGCAAGCCTCCTACCAAAACTGCTCTTTCCCTTAGAGCAGCTCCACCAGCCCCCACTAGACCTGGCCTACAAGCTTGGGTCCCATGTTCAAGACACCCAAACCCCTGACTATGGCACCACTGTTCTAACCATTTATTAACCTGGCCAATTCTCCTAGCCTTTTTAAGGTCCTCCCCTTTATCCTGGAGAATTGATTAAAAGACTCTCTGGGCTCCAGGGCCCCTAACCACCTCCCCCAGGGCTCTGTAGTCCTTCTTTATGTTCCCCAGGCTACTACTATCTATATCCCTAGCACCCACATGTATCACCAGGAGTGGGTAATAGTCCGTGGGATTTACGAGAGCAGGCAGCCTCTCTGCCACACCCCTGATCCGTGTCCCCGGTAGGCAACACACCTCTCTTGAGACTGGGTCTGGCCGACAGACGAGTGCTTCTGTCCCTTTCAGTGTAGAGTCCCCTACTACTACGACCTGCCGCTTTTTCCTAGCAGCACCAGCAGAGATCTTCTTTAGCAGTGCATCAGCCGGCTGTTTCTGGCTCGAGTGCGCTTCCTCATTAGCCCCCTGCAGGACAGCAAAGCGGTTCTGGGTGGGGACAGGGGATTTAGGGGGAAGCCCCTCGCTTTTGGTTGTCCTTTTCCTTCTTTTTTTTTGTTGTTTTTTTTTTTTTTTTGTCACTAGTTCCCAGCTTCCCAGGTTAACGGCCTCCTTCTTTCCTTCATGAGGTAGAGGTGAAGCTCGAGGCCCCTGCACAGTTTGGGCCGGGAGCAAGCATTCCTGCTTCCTCTCAGCTTCCCTGACATCTCACAGTCTATTAACAGCATCCCGCAGCTCAGCCCCTGCTGCAGGAGGACCTCCACCAGGGAACACCGAGTGCAGCCCTGCCCATTGTGCACCCTCCCCTCACCAGACCAGTGCAGGCCCTCTCTGCACCCCGAGCTCCTCACTGCAGCCTCCCCTCTCACCGGCTCTGTCTGGGTGCCTACGGTGCCACCGCCGGGGCACCCAGAGCAGAGCTCCCAGACCGGGCCCTGATCATACGACGAGTGCTTCCAGACTGAGCTGTCAAATGAGCTTCATCCACCTCCATTTAAGCTACCCTAAAAATAAGTATCAAAATGTTTTAAATAAGGCTGCATGAAATTGCCTTTAACTGAGGGCATTTCACCTCGCTATCACAGAAGTTCAAGATGTATTAACCCAAAAAAAATGCAGGTAATTGAGTTCTACTCTCTTGGTCTTAATTTAGATTAATTCACTCATTTTTATTCTACCTCTCATTAAAAAAAAATGTAATATCTCATCTTGTATGACATCTGCCATCTAAGATGTTCATATACAAACACTAAAAGATCTGAAATTTACTTAAAATATCTATGAGAAAGTGACTTTTTCCCATTGGTTTCCTATATGATGAAAGTTTTTACACACCAAAACAAACCAAATCGGGTTTTAAACCACATTTAGGAAAACTAGTAAATATCTACATTAATTTCTTCTCAGGTAGACTCAGCAAACTAAAAAAAAAAACCAAACAAAAAAAAAAAAAAACAAACCAACCAACCAAAAAAAAAACAACAACCCCCACACAGGTACACAGGTGGGATTACCTTACAGGATCTGAGAAAACAGATATCAAATTTGGGAACCTAGGACTAAACACCATGTCTTTTGGCAAAACAGACATTTACTTCAATTAAAGGAGCATTCTGCTTTGCTTTTTCTGGCAAGATATCACCCTCATTGTATTTCCTAATAACAAAGCAACCAGGAACAGGAGTCAGCCACAATCATTCATACCCTCACCTCTTCAAAATTCTTAACTGAAAATATTTACAAAAATATTTGGGGGGTGAGGGAGGAAATTTAACTGTAGTTCAGATTACACTAACATCTCGAGCCAGGTATTCTATCATGATGTCTAACAGGTATATCACACTACAGTAAAACCAATGGCCAAGTTCCCTTATCAATCAGATGACAGCTTTTATGGGCAAGATGCTTTATAATGAAGAGCCTAGCCACAAGAGAAGAATATAAGAAAAAAAAAAAAGAAAAAAAAAAAAGAAAATCATGCCCTTGAGACAGAGTGGGAAAAATGAGGGCAACAAAATACAGTTTGTATGAGTTAAGACACTGGGAGAGCAGAATTCAAAACTTATAAATTATTATAAAAATAAGATACCACCCCCCAGACACTACCAGATTCTTTTTTTCTTGGTCAGTGTACCAAAATGTAGTTCTGCATGGAAACTTTTCAAACAGAACTGAATTCAGTGGAAATTAAAAGACCTGTTCATCCCTGTAACAACTAAATGGAAAATCTTCAGAGGAAAACTGTTATTAAAATCCAAAACTTGAGTTTCCAAAGATGAAGTGTTCTATTTTTGGCTTCCTAAAGTGACTGAAGACATTTCAGCAATTTCAGTATTAGTGCAGGCTTTTCCTCATTGCTGCACTACTCTTAACTTTTCATTAAAAGATTTAGAATTCCTTCCAATATAGATTATTTTTTTTGCTGTTGTTTTTCAATATTCATATGAACAGTTTCAAAATCCTGTGAGTTTCATGTTTTATCATTAAAAAATATTCTAATGGAAATGTTACTTTTCTGTATGTTACATAATGATTTTTGTATACATAAATTTGTTAATGTGTCCAGCAATCTTCATCCCTCTATCTTTTCATATTTATAAAATATGCTTCTGGCTACAGTAACTTTTCTTAACTACCCCCCGAAATACACATGTCAAACAGAGCTCTGTTTTTAGTAGTTCTATTCAAAATCATGCACTGATTGAAATAACAAAAGAACTCAAGTCATACTTTCACAAGCTTTGTAAACTGGTTCATACAGTTCTCTACAACAAGAATGTTGAAGTAATTACTCATACCTTTAGGTAGCTAACAAAAAAGCAACGCAAGTTTAAGAGTCAGCTTAATAGATTCTTCACAGTAACTGTCAGCAGAATTCCTCCAAGTAGCTACATTGTTCTGTCATATTTCTGAGAGTAAAGTTATCTTTGAAGTCTGAGAAGTTCACTGGACAAATCTGGGTGCAGAACCTTTCTAAAAAAAATAAAATCCTAATATAATACTTTGGAGTACAAGTAGTGAGCAGAGAAGAAGGACATGTAGCCTAAATCCTATGAGGACCTAAATTCTCACTTACACAGAACCTGTATCTTCATTATAACTGATATATCCTGATACCCTTAATCTTCAGCAGGGCCAGTTATGAGGCTGCAATGTGCAGAACACTTTTTTATTTATTTGGAAGTAGAGCTGTTCCTTAGACAAACATGTATTTGCCATCATGCCAGACAGTACAGCAGTACATGTCCTGATACTAGTAACAATACAAGTAGCTGACTAGGTCTTCTATTTACCTGTTCAGTAAAGGCAGAAAACAGAAAAAAAAAAAAAAAAAAAAAAAATCAAACTTTTTCATTTGCAATTCTTCTAAACATAGGATACAGTATAACCTGAAATAAAAATAAATAAATGGATACTCATACACTCAGAAAAAGTTCTAATTCTGTACCAGTATTTGCGGAGCTATAACACTGCTACATATCACAGAATTCCTATACAGTGAATAGCAGTACAGTGCTATTAATACCACTTTCAATTTCATGATTAACTTATGAAATCTTCATTTAAATGTCCTTGACACCAAAGGGCTAGCAATTCCAGATTAATAGAGGTTGGTGGGGTTTTTTTGGTTTTTTTGTTTTTTTTTTTTCTATTTTCAGTACAAATTAGGCATATCTTTAGTAAGTGGATCACAGGAATCTGTAGGGCTTGGGGGTGGGTTGGGTTTGGGTTTCTTTAAAACAATCCTTACTGTTAATCTCACAATTTCAACACATCAGCCTGTGAGAAAGAGCATCTGAAAATCACAACATGGCAAAAAAAAAAAGCAGTTCAACAGTAGCTGCAGAAGATTCCACATTAGGTAAGCATAATTAAAGTGTAAGTAGAATAAAGTGATAAATACGATAAAAAGCTCACATACAGATGCAGTAATAGGTATATTTACCATTGCCCTCAAATCAGAGACCATGACCTTCAGAGAAGTTGCCACATGCCCTACACAGGGCTCAGGAAGGGATAAAACAGACTTAAGTCGCCAGGAAAAGAGTAGCATTGCTAAAAGCTAGTATAGACAAAGCTTTTTTTATAGACAACAGTATGTCTCTAAATATCTTCTTCAGGTTTCATGGAAAGTATTTCATTCTCTAGAGATCCACAGCCTACATCTCACTCCCCCAAGAAATGCACATTTCTTTCAGAGCTGATTGGCATCTGTTCTACTCCTGCAGAACACAACTTAATGAAAGTTTCTAGTGTTCATGGAAGAGCCTCACTATCACCTATGAAACAAAAAGCTCAGCTCTGATTTTCTCCTGAGAATGAGGGAGCTCATACTCACATCCTCCATTTTCCCAGAGAATGCATTAACAAGAAAGCTGGAAACTATACTACAACATTCAGCTGAGGCTGCACTACTGTAAGGAAAGTAATTCAAGACTTCTCAGGCCAAGCAGAAGGATCACGTGAGAGTGCAATTCAGTGTCTCATTAACAATTCTTACAATTGTTACATTTGTTCTTAGTCATAAAAACTTTACTGGAAGCCAGAACAAACACTCAAGATACTCCTCTTACACAGATGCTCTATTGATGGGAATACAAAAATAACTTACATAGGCCTTTAAAGCCTACTCACCACATACTTACACAAAAGAATAACAATTCCATTTTGTAGCTCTCAAGTGGTCAAAACTGAAGAAGTTTTAATTGTACCAGGGAACTTCCAATTATACAAACAAAACCAGACTCCAAATGCCACCAGGAAACACTGGAAAGCATTTACAGAATTACAATTTAAACATGCAAATTTGACAAAAATTACATCTTTAAATGCCTAGTCTTTTGGGAAAAGGATTAAGATGCAGGCTTTTACTCTAAGACAGTGAACACGTACAAACAGAAAACAGCCACAGAAAACCAAACCAAACCAACAAAAAAAAAGGCTCAAAATCCAGAATGTTACAGTATACTAAAGTCTTCCACTGTTAGTCTTCTGACAGGGGTTTGGTGTTTGAAGAGATTAAAAGCCAAATAAATCCTATAACATTTAGCAGGACCAGAGGCAGGTCAGTCAGGAAACATGCAAGTTAAATTTCTACCTTGTGTAGTCTCATTTTCAACACAAAATGCTACAAAGAAACAGGCATTTTTCCATGTCTAGCCCTTAAACACCATCCTTCCTCCAATGTAAACTTACCAGGGAGAAAGATGGCACCAAACTGACATCCTCAAGTGCTAAAAATATCTCATTTCTGCTTCCCTACTGCAGCTCTGTGGCAACTGAAACACGGACTCCAGTTGTGATGCAACCGAAATCGTTTATTGAGCAAGAGTATAGACTTTTTATAGACCCCTGCCTAGCGGTTAGTAAATGTTAATATGTTAGTTTCTTTTTAGTACTTTTTGCAACATCATACGCTTTTCTCAACTGATCACATTATTGTTCACGTGCCTTTGCTTGAACAACTTATTTGTTCTCAGATGTATAAGCACATTTCTCTGTTAACACTTTCTGCCATATTATTACTTTCCATTTTCCTTGAACACACTTCTTTTGTCCCCTTAGTCCACACTGGAGACTTTCATTAGCTCCTGGGAAAGTCCGAGGTACATTACATCTTTGTCTTCAGTGACTTCTTTGTTTCAACATCTACAGTTCTCAGAGATTATCTCAGTGTTCTAACTTTGACTCCTCTTGACTGCCATGGTTTGCAGCTGATGAGGGTCAGAATGTTCGTGCTCTTGTTCAGGTCTACTGGCGCAGCTTCTTGTGCAGCATTCCCCACACAGCTCCAAGCTTGAAATTGTTCCATAATATTTGTTATCATCTACTGGATAATGGTATTTTCTCGGCCATAATGACGAAGAGAGTTTTGAGTTTAACTTTCTGGAACATCTAAAATAACCCCATATTTGACAATTGCAGCAACGGTGCTACGTGGAGGGGAGACAAAACTATGCCCTGTACCCCTCACAGGTAGCAACTCCAGCATTTTAACCTCACTTGTAGAATACCTGCAGAATGGCAAAATAAAGGTTTTTATGCCCTATAAAAATAGCAGTGTAAGATCATTAACATTAAACCAGACACAGACCTCCTAAAGAGGAAAGACAACAGAAAGTTTATTTAAAAATCTCCCACAATTAAGTGTTCTTACCTCAGGTGATTAGATAACTGCCTGACTAGTAAAGATGTCCAAGACAGTAATCAAACAATTGGACTAACAAGCAGATCAATACTACCATTGTTTGATGGAAAGTTAATTTAAAACCAAGAAAATTCATAAATATATAAATAAATAAAATCTGCTGATGCTATTAAACTGAGGAAAATATTTGGCATTAAACATGCTCAAACTGTTCACATTGCTTGTCACAATAAGATTCTTGATAAATAACTGAATAAGTCTGAGGCAAGCTCAGTGTACTGCCTCTGAGGAACTAGAGGCTCATTACCAATATCATTATCTAAACCTAATTAGTAGTTTTATTGATGATTGGTGATTGTAGCCTGCTGGCACTAGGAAGCTGATTAACATTCCTCAGAAACAAACAGGGCTGCGGTGGGGGACAAGGGAGGTATTTCCCTTTTGCTCAGCCTCAGTAGAAAGGGAATTAAATAATTAAATATTATACCTGTGCACACTGAAGCTCAGTTTCTTTCATTCATCTATAAAACATGGTGATATTGAAAGTGCTTGAGGCATTTTCATTGCTTGACATCTATTGAATTCTGAATATTTTTGCCTGGTTGAATGACAGAAATAAAAAAGTTTAAGTGTAATTAAATATTTAATTACTATTGTCTAATTAAAAAAAATACTGGATTAACTTGTCAAAGCCGATTTCATTGGAATGCTAGAACAGCATTTTCATTTTTCTCCTTGAACGTAATCTGTGCCTAAACACGGTGATGATTAGTATAATTACTTTAAATAGTACTAGGTGCATTCAGAGGAGAGGGATGGAGCAATTACTGGGTATTCCACGGAAAACACTTCCTTTCATTTCCCTAATATTATCCTATGTAACAATTTTCCTCCTTTCTTAATTGAAGAATGAGCTCATTTAAAACTCCTGAACTGAAGTTTAGGTTAAACTTAAGTTCTGTTTCAGAAGAAAGCCCTTTAGTATGACATAGAATCATAGAATCACAGATTGGTGTGGGTTGGAAGGGACCTTAGGGCTTAACTAGTCCCAGCCCCCTGCCACAGGCAGGGACACCTTCCACTAGAGCAGATTGCTCCAAGCCCTGTCCAACCCAGCCCAGAACACTGCCAGGGATGGAGTAGCCACAGCTTCTCTGGGTAACCTGTGTGCCAGTGCCTCACTACCCTTATGGCGAAGAACTTCCTAAGACATAAGTCTCAGTGTCTTATTTAGTGGACAAAGAGTCAGTTTGCAAGGAAATCTTAAAAAATTTAGATACCTGTATTGGCAAAATTTCCTTTTGCTACTATCCAGCCACCATGTAAAACATATAAATAGTTTATGCCCAATGTAAATCCCTACTGTAGTAAAAGATCAGATGAACAGGCAGAGGTGAAGTTTTACTTGTATCTCTGTTGGTGTCTATATGGTGAGAAATACAAATCTACGCACATATATTAACATACATAGACATATATGGATAAAGTATGGAAAGAAAACAACTCTGCCGCAGACAAAGCAGGGTGGGGCTTAAACTCCTTTTTTTGATTAAAAAGCACTAGATTTAATCACTGACACAGCTGGGAGGAGTCAGTGCTAAGCGGCACATTGCGGGACATTACTGGCCTCCAGTGGATGCAGGTGTACAGCACTGTCATCAAAATTCTTAAGGCTTCTTCTGAAGGATTCTTCTTTAGTTTAAATCTTTTCCTTTACTTGGGATGGGAGGAGGTGGGATTATCTTTTTATTTTTAAGTACTGAGAGAAAGCTAGCATTCACAACGTCGTAAGTACACAAAAATATGCTACATTAGCATTATAAAGTATACTTGTTTTGACAAAAAATTGGAGCCAGAAATAACCATGGCACAAATTAAAGGACAGATAGTATGCTGTATCTTAATCTAAGATCTGTATTTGTGCCATACCTCAACTACAAGTTCTAGAAATTTTAGTCAAAGTCATTTATTTACAAGATTAATTACAACTCACATATTGTGTGCAACATTCAAATCAGGCCTTAGTGCTAGAAATACACAACAAGAATGAAGTATTTGTATAATGGACTTTGTTCATCAGGTTAGAACAAAATTAAAACCCTTATGTTTCTTGAGCTTTGGATCCTAATGAAGGTAATTATAAGGCTGCATTTATACTATTCAGAATCAGAAGAAATTCAAAATTCATACGCAGCAACGGAAAAAAAATTTCATGGATCCTTCTGATTAGCCTGCAAGCAGATTGCTACCTTTTATATAAACACACGTGTGAATGTTACAGAATTTTCCAGTCTAAATTGGACTGCGTACATTCAATGATTCCAACCTAGGTTAGGAGGACATCATGTGGCAGAATAACGTACGAACAGATCCTGTAATTCCCACGCTCAAAAATTGTCTACAGTTGTTACCCCTTGCAACCAAAAATATTAAAAACTGTTGACAGACTCTGTGACAATAGGTAAAAGACAGGATTATTAAAATGACCTAAAATTCTATTACAAATTTTGGATGAACATTTGGATTCAGAGGAGGTTTACTAAGCCCTAAGCAGCCATTTTAAAATTTTAGAAGTACACAGTTCCACTTACAGGATAAAATTTCACCGTTATATGCACTTAGCTCAAACTGTCTTTGCAGAGCCCTGCCAAAAGCAGTAATTTGTGCATCTGTGACCTGAAAGCACCTGAAAGCACCTGAAGCAACTGCAACAAATACATGAAAGACTCCCATCCCACCTCATCAGTAAAATCTCCCCTGAACCAACTCCATGAATTCAAAATCTACAGTGCTAGACAGGTATTTCTGAAGCTATGTGGTTTATCTTGCATTTCTATTAAAAAAAAAAAATCCATATTATTTATTTGTCAGAGTCTGATAATAAATCCTTAGAATATCAGATGAAGATGCAATCTACTTAAACCTTATTTTTTAAATTAAAAATAAAGCAATCCACTTTAGTTAAAATAGTCATAAATTATGGAATCTATTCAGATTGTTATGGTACCAGTCCACAAAATCAGACAGAACTGGAAGAACAGAGAACAATTTAATAGCATGGCTAAGGATGGACAAACCTCTACATGTTTAGAATCTCATTGTAGATAATCACTGAAGACAAAGGAAGTTGTGAATCAGAAAAAAAAGCTGGAAATCAGAAATTCTAAGGAGATTTTTCTGTTTCCCATTTCTGGCCAGAAGACATAGGCTCAGGTTATGCGATTTCCATTCATAGAATCTTGGAATTGTTCTTGAAGTTTTGGTTTCTTTCCACTGAATTAGAAAAGCTGACTTAGCAGTGGTGCTGTTAGAGACGGGGAAGCTTATTATGAAGATCTAGCAGTGAACAGAGCTGAGGCCTTTGACGTTCATGAACAGCATTTTTAAGAGCAGGATATTTCAGTACAGGTGAGGTGGGTGAAGAGGTAGTTTCAAGACTGAGTTTGGTTGATTTTAGAGGGATTTATAAAATGTGATGCCTGCTGCAGCAGGGAGGTGGATTAATTGATCCAAAGAGACACTTCCAGTCTCATATTCCTATTCTACAGGCAGAAACTTGGGAAGTATTGGGAAACTAACAGCAGCAATTTGCACCAAGATCATAGTTCTTCACTGCTTTGGTCCGAAACAGACTTTAATACAAAAGAAACCTGCTGTTCAGATTACCCTGACAGGGCAAAAAGGAAAAGTGTATGACTAAAATCACACCATACGAAATAGGTCATAAGCTCACGATATCTCCCAGTGGCTGCATAAAGAGAACTTGTGACTCAAAAAAAAAAAAATATTACGTTTACCTGCTCTCATCAAATCTGCCATTTAGTAGTCAACAGTATAAAGGTGCTCTTCTGACATACTTACTTCATCTCTTCTACTTTATCTGCTTTTGCTTCTCCCTAGACAAATACATCAGTAGACACAATATAAAAATAGGAAAAAAATAGTATAAATGAAATCACATTGGTATTGCAGAGGAGGCATGCACTTGAGCAACAGGTCCCTCCAGATCTATTCAAGTTACAGAGGGATTACAGAGAATGTACTATCAGAGCATTATTTTCCTAGTGAATGGGGAAGGGAAAAGAGGTGTATTTACAAATGCACATACCGGTTTTAGAACCCTCAAGGAACACCTCCTGAGGTCTATCTACCACATACTTCCTGTAAGAGGCTGAGGAATCTCAGCATGCCAGCAAGGGAGCTTACACAATGGGATTCATCTTGCCTGCTCACTTCAATCCTGACTGGTAAAGTTAGCTGGGTGAAATGCAAAAAGTAGGAATGCAAATTTCTTCAGTCACAGTATTCAGGCAGCAAGGAAAAGGCTTCTGTCAGCCAGCATCTAAAATAACCTAAGGTCAGATTTCCTGGAACTCAGCTGCAGAGTGCATGCACTTCAGCATACAACCCCCTGCCATTCTTGTATCTCTTTATTCTCTCCAGGCTACTGATTTACATCTCCCACCTGCTGGGTAATCATATGCTATCAGTAAGATCAGCAAGATTTGTTCACACTGTTGCATGGATTGCTGGTTTTATTCTCTGGATTGTTGAAGTCCAAAATCTCAGGTGGCTACCCTCTGATACAGTTCCAAATGTAATCTGAAAGGAGTTTCTAGTTGCCTAAGTCACGATTGTACAGACTTGCTTGGCAGGTATTTTGAAAGGATTTTCGATTTCATCTTGCTGCCTGTCAGCAGTCAGATGAAAAATTTCTTGAGCATCAGGGATGACATATATTTGGGGTTTTACACTTAGTCAAAAATATTTATCCAACAGATGGAAACATGATAAACTACTCTCTAAAGTAAGCACGCCTTTTGAAAATCTCATGCCTGAGTCAAAATCCATAGCTGGCAGTAGGCTGCTACAATTTCAAAAGCGTCACTGCACACAACTAGGAAAATGTCAGAATCAATCTTCCTTCTTTTTTATATAAAAAACAATGCGTTTATAACCTAAGAAACATATGGGTAATCTGAGTAATTGAGAAAAATCTAATACCTTAGAGGAGCTATATATACACAGATTGAGTCAAAATTACATTTGCTTTATGTACCGTAATAAATTAACCCAATCTTTGCTAACATTCTCAATAAGGCCTGATGTACAACTCAGAGTTTTTGCCATCCTAGCCAGGTTGACTAGGAGGAAGCAAAAAAAATCACCCCCATATTCAGTACTTTTATGCATCAATATAATACTTCAGGCACTCCATGAAGACATAACTGTATTTGAGAAAATAAAATTGCTTTTGAGTTTATTCTATTAAGCTGTAGAGGCAAAAAAATTATCTGTTTAAGATGCTTTTATGCGAGTGGAGATTGCCAACACAAGCACAGAAAACTATGGCAGGAAACAAACTAAACACTGGACCTAAACTAAACAACAAATGTAACATTTTTGTTAAATTGGTCATCTTTGGTATTTAGTTCCAGATTTGAACTTTGCAGACAGAATTTTTATCTAACTAGTAAGAGGAGGTACAGCTGTGTTTGTATTAGCAGATGTAAATTATTACTGCAATTTCCTTTACTTCCATCACATATTGTGGCCTTAGAGGTACAGAGAACTTAAAAACCTTCTGGGCATGAAGACATAACAAACTCTTTCCTATAATAATGAACAAAGATTACAGGGGCAAAAATGTTGTGAAGTTATTTGTTCTCCTAGGTCTCAGGTCAACTGGCAGTAAAATTCCTGGCCCTTTCTGTTACAGTTATCCTACAAAAGGCTGGGGGAGGGAAATGTCATTTTGGTATTTTACTGTGACCATTTTTAATTTTTTTAACTATAGTTGCTTAGCTGCTGAATATATATGAACATGCAGAAAGATCCAGAAAACCAGACTGGGAGTTGAAAAAAAAATACAAAGACCTGCAGAGAATTAATTCTTACAGATGTCATGGCCTAAGGTGTTTTTTTTTCCAAAAAATTACCCTGAGGGACCAAGCAGTACTTAATAATAAAGCAATGGTTAGAATTACTCAGGCCCTAAATATGGTTAAAAAGTAGATGTTCACGGTAAGATATTAAAGCTCAAATATTCAAGAGGTCACAGACTTTTCAAATGTGTTGCGCTAGACTATGCTCTTCTTTGCCAAATGAGAGGCTGAGGATGCTGGCAGAAACCTAGCAGAATTTTAAAACTCCTCCAATTCAAACAAATGAAACGCTGTTCACCAGACCAAATGACCTTAAAATCAGCAGTATGATGAAGGGACTTTCCAGCTCCTAGATTTCTGTTGAGTTCTGAAGAAGATACGGCTTCTCTTAGCCAACTCCCTCAATATGTTATGGCTACTAACCCCATGCTAGCTCTGCCAGCCTTTCAATAATATGCAATAATGGCTTGATGCTTTAGACTGCAAAACTCTGGCAAAACTCCCACTGACCAGCAGGTATGCTGACATACTGTGGAAGGAAGTACCACACATGGAACCAATATATGTGGTTCAGAAAATGGGGAAGTTTCAAGGCCAGGTTGGACGAGGCCTTGAGTGATATGATTTAGCGTAAGGTATCCCTGCCCATAGCAAGGGGGTTGGAACTAGATGATCTTAAGATCCTTTCCAACCCTAATGATTCTATGATTCTAAGTTTGAGTTTAAAGAAAGTGTGTACAACTTTTAAATTACGGATTGATTTCCTTTACATAAAGCCAGTAATACTCATGTTTAAAGCTACATAAATGCTTCAGCTATCGTGAAAAGGTTTGTAAAAGCTTTGGTAACAAACTTCAATATGGTTCATTATCTCCATTCACTTGATCAACTACCTCTTTTTAGCAAAGTCTGCATAAAAAGTAAGATGGCCTCTCTTTTTGGTTTTACCTATGTAGTACATATTATGTTACCAGTGTCCACTGAGAACCATACCAAATGTAAGTGCAATAAAGCATTGTGAATTCAGTTATTTAAATAGAGTTTGAACACTAAGATGTAGGGTTCATGCTTTAGTATTCCATTATTAGGCTACCTCATGAAAATGAATGCATTCACTGCTCAGTCCTGATTCATCTGAATAAGATTGCAGAATCAGCCTCCTCATATCATCTTTCTTCATGGCTTCTGTACTAGAGCTCCTGTAAACAACCACAGTCTCAGAAGATAAGCCTTGGCAAGAAATACATAATTCTACTAATTTCACAAGTGTTTGCATCACGTGACCTTCTTCAGTTCCATCATTATTTCAGAACTATGATATTTCTTTGCATTCACTGCTGTAGCATTTTACAGTAAGGACTCAGAAGAATAAAGTTAGCAACAGTGTCCCTGTATTGTCTGTGATTAATGTTATAGAATTAAGTGGTGTACTGGACTTCATGCAAGACCTTAAATTTATCAGTTTTCAGATTATGGAAATTAAAAATTTCAAAACCAGGGAAAGTTCTCTTGTTGTTTTATATTAAAAAAAAAAAAAAAAAAAGATAAATAGTGAAGGCTTTCAAACAGTGATATCACTTACACAGAAGGCACATTTCTGTTCATGAACCCTCCATTTTAGTTTTGAAACAGAATGTCATCACTTACCAGCTTAGTCCTTTGTTATTAACCTAACAAGTAGCTTACATTGTGAACACCCTTATATTCTATCATGTTTCCCCACCCTAGCACAGAGAATTTGTACTGGCATAATTTTTTTAAGAATCAGTGAATACAGAAACAATTTATTTTCAAAGGGGAGAAGGTGCTAATTCCCTGCAGCCTGGTTGAATATGTTAGCTTTTCAAACCATCCAATCAATGGATGCACCTACATGAGTCTTTAAGTTCAGATCACGAGCACGCTTTTGAAGTGAATCTCCTATTCAGTCCCTCTTACCTTACTTCGTTTTATGCAGCACAGGTCAGTGTACAGCTAGATGTCCCCCAAATGAAACAAAGCTGAAAGATGTCCTCCACAGACCATATAATGTGCTCCAACTACTAATGGTCTTTCAGTTGACAGGAACAAATTGTAGCTAGTTCAGAGCAGATTCCCACCTTTTCCCCATTCACATATAATGTGGATATAAGGTTTTTGGCACCAACTATAGATTGGCTCTTACTGCACAACCCTACTTGTTAATACAGACATGGACAATATTAGCTCAGGTGGTGGGGATGCTGGAGCCAAATTCTGTGCGTCAGGATGTATTTCCTTCTTCCATCTCAGCTTTCCTCTTCATAAAATTTCCTTTGAGGAAATGATTTTAAAAATAGAACTTTTTGTTTGCATGGGAGTAATGGATGCAAGTTAGATTCACATATGCCAGGAAGTCTGAGATGAAAAATCCAAGTTCTAGCAATCACAGCCTGACACATTATACGTATATGCATGTTATTGGCATGTACGAAGATGTGTAGTTTACACAATTCTTTTTATCATGTTTAGAATTTGCTATGACACTTATCCTGTGACTCCACTACATTCTAACTGAAGTTTAAAAATCCAGGTATTTATTTCAGAATATTTTGTGTCAAACAGATTCATGTCTCCATTGAAGTACTGTATTAAAAAAAAAAAAAAAGGCAAGTTTGGAAATCACAGCTATGTCACTGAGAGAGAACTAAGAAATCTGATAGATTAATAAGATGCACTTATTTAGTCTGGGTATGAAGTCATGACTGAGGTGAGTTTTGCTATTTCTGAAGCACCATCATGGAAAGGCTGAGGAGGGTAGTTGAACAAGCTCTATTAGAAGATTGAAGTGTTTTTTGAAAGTAACATACATTTTTCTCTCAAGCTGTAAAATAAATGTATGAAAAGAACAGAACAGCACATTTCAATTGGAAGGGACTTACAATGATTATCTAGTCCAACTGCCTGGCCAGTTCAGGGCTGATCAAATGTTAAAGCATGATATTAAGGGCATTGTCCTTAACACTGACAGGTGGGGGGCATCAACCACCTCTCTAGGAATCCTGTTCCTATTATATTTTCACAGAATCTTAGTTCACAGAAAATGTAGATACAAGTTTTTATGATCTATAGATAAGGTGATGTAGTTAAGAAAATTGTTAAGAAAACAAAACCAACAGGCTTTTTTTTAGTGAAACCAAGCTATACTCACAAAAATATGGGGGGGGGTTATGTATAAAATATATTATTAACATTGGAGGTGTTATACGTAACTATTTAGTAGTGTATTGTTTTCATGCATTCAACTGTAACATCTTAGAAACAGCTAGAATCAGTAAGATAAAATAGCCAGTGTATAATATTGTATCAATAATAATATTTATAGTAGATGCAGCCTGGTTGGATGTAGGCACATGAGATTTAAATTTATAACTGAACAATATGAAATATAATAACCTCATTTTGTGGATACTGGGCAGCTTAGTGGATTCCTAAATGGAGGATGCAAGCCTCTCTTTAATCTGAAAGATATTTGATGTCTTATATAGAATACACCTGCGTTTGTTTAGTTTACATCAGAGATGTACATCACCACAACCAATATTATGTTTTGCAGCTCAACGAAAGGCTAATTGCTGCAGTCGTATGTAATGGTGAATTTCCTCTTCAGAAGCACTCTCTTCCCTGAAGAAATTGAAAGAGAAACTTACTCTCCATGTGTTCTGTGCACTTTGCCGCCTTTATGCACTCAGACAACTGATGACCACAAACTGTCACGTGGACTAGCCTGAGAAACTGTGCTGTCACTGCCACCAGAACACTTGGCCCCACCAGCCTGTGTTTTCCTCCACTCAGGAACAGTAACAATGTCTCTCCAGTACAAACACCTGAGTCTGCGCAGACTGCCAGTAGAGGAAAACTGAGAGGGCTTCAGCATCTCCCTTCTAATCTCCCACATCCTTAGCACAGCTGACAACACTACTGAGTACTAAGTATAGTGCAGACCTACAGTTTTCCCACCTCTCCTCAACGGTACTTGCCAGATTGCCTCAGTTCCTAAATACAGCGAGTGAGATTGAAGAGGTGAGAAAAGCAGTGGTGCTGTGTGGAAAATGCAAATAATAGTGGTGCTATGACAGCAAAGCAGAAAAAAAGGTTTAAACCCTACCTCCACCTGAAGCCCCATTCCATGGGATCACCCACAGCATGTGATCATTTCTATTTATAAATGCTATATTTTCTAACATGAGTCAGTTACCCATCTATTTCTGATCGGAACAGGAAGGACAGGGGAACAACTTTAATCACAGCTGAACCAAAATTAGCACTGAAAATGGATCAGTTCAGTTCCTTTATTTATACTAACCAACTCTAAGTGTGCCTAGATGAGCCAGTCAGAATAAAAAAGAGCTTCTTTTGCAGATACCTGAAGATCAGAAGTTGGTTTAAAGTGTAATTCAAAACACAGAACAGGGTATTGGAAGGCTCCTGTTCTCTCCAACGCTTTTTCTTAGAAAACTGGCCATGTAATTCAGCCAGCTAAATCAGGTGCTCAACTAAGGGGTGGTGACAGTAGCATGCCTAAGCAGCGCCTGTTAAGATTCACCTGTCCGTCACCTTGGTTTCATCACAGTGTTCGTGTGGATCCAAGCACACTGAGGCCCTGGCAGAGACTGGAGCTTCTAAACAACAGTACAGAACAGGGGAGCGTTTTGAATGTGAGTCAGCAATGCTCTTCCACAGTGATGATGGCAAATCACATACCCAACCTCTTTAGCACAAGCATAACTAGCATACTGGGGGAAGCCATTACTTCCCTTTAATCAGCACTTGTGAGGCCACATCTAGAATACTCTTACTGGAATATTGTGTCCTGCAAGGAACCCAAATGCAGTTTACTGCCACCTGGGGAGCAGTTAGAGAAGATAAAAGCAGACTCTCTCCAGAGGTGCAAAGGGAAAGGACAAAAGCCACAAGGAAAAAAGTCCTGGAGGGGCTGCGCAGACTTCATCTGTGGAGATTTTCAAAAATCGAACAGGAGAAGGCCCTGCATCTCTGAGATTAAGCATGCCTTGAACAGGACTGTGAATGAGATCACCTCCACACATCCTTTCTGACTTTAATTCTACAATTCTAAAAGTGAGACTCGGACATCACACATATGAATATACATGTTGAAAACATGACATGAAGTAGTTAAAAATCAATATAAAAGTTTTTTTAAAAAGGTCATGCCAATCTGTGACATCAGAAGCCTTTTTCTCCATGGCAGAACAGTGATTCTCTAGCTACAAAAATGATGCTGATGAAAAGAAGACTAAGTCCTTAGTAATAAGGCAATAATGTTATTGAGAACATCTTATCAGAAGATCAACAAAATAAGCTGGATGGCACTGGAAATACAATCAAGCACCAAGATAACAGATATAAACTCATTAAAATATTAAATGTATAGGCTTTCTTAAAACTTCAGAGAGGCTGCTGCCTGTACAATCTTCTAAAGCCCTGCTGTTGGGTTTTCTAACTAACTCCTCAGTCTCATAGTTGCTTTCGAAAACCTGCAAAAAGAGAATTACAGTAATCAAAATCTTACAGAGACATTAATAAAAATATGGAGGTATCCTGATGTAAGAAGATAGAGATGGTAGTGGTTAATATATAAATAGCTCTTCTTTTAATAGCCCAAATACTAAATAATTTTTAGCACTAAGAGTGCCCTTACAGCTAGCTGCATATGAAGGAAATATATCTAAAAACGGAGAGGTAAAAACCCATGTCTTTTTCCAAGCTATTTTGGCTACTAAAAACTCAGTTTCAAGATAAATTCAATATGCATAATATATGCAGCATGTTTATATTTGGTGTTTACAGCTGCACTTAGGTAATTTTACAGATGTATGTATAGATAACCATAGGGTCAGACATGGATACAGCAAACTGCTTAATACAGAGATGGAGCCTTCTTGTTTAGTTGCCTAGCAATAAGATCTGACTCCTGAAAGCTAACAAATACAGATTAGAAAATGGAATAGAGTTATTTCATGTATCTAATGCATCATACAAAAAGGAACATAAGGCTATTGAAAAAAGAAAAATGCTAGGGCAGGAAAAAAAAACAAAAAACAAAAAACCTTACAAATCTGTCCAGTGGAATCTATTCAGAAAATACGTGACAGGAAGAAACTACAGTATCTGAATTAAAGAAAGCCTCAATCTGTTCACTCTGTCTGTATTTTTCATTGTTATTTTTCTTTTAGCAAAAAGTCTAATTCCATCTTGGCTAACAGATCTGGCTTTCGAACTGCTGTCTTTAACTTTGTCCAGCCCCCTCAATAGCGTTTGGAAGCTGGAGAAAGATTTTTTTTGATTGCACTCTGTGAACATGATGGCATTTCTCTTCTTGGAAAACACAGCACGATACTAATGGAAAGTCAGATGACTTACTATACTGGTGGAGAGGCAAAAATCCACACTTGTGTTTTATTT